GAGTGAGAAGCAGCAAGAAAGCAATTTCCGACTGACTTAAAAAATAATTGAGAAAGTGAAATTAAGAAAAATCTCAAGGAGGTTGTAAAAGCGGTGCTAAACCTGGAAAAGAAAGTTAGAGAAATCCATCAAGGAATTTTTTATGAGTTAACTGAGATAGAAGAAACTCAAAAAGATGCTCAAGAACAAATAAAAAAACTACTGCAAAAGAATGGAGTTGAAGTTAGTGATTTAAATTCTAATTTATGGGAAGGTAGTCTTAATTGAGAAAAACATTTGTTAAAACTAAATGAAGTGAAACAAATAACTGATTTTGTTGAAAAACTAAAAGCAGAAATAACTAGTCAACAAGAAGTGAAAAGTCAAGTTGAAGTTGTTGCTAATTAATATAGTTTAAAAGCAAGAGATTTTGAATTATAAAAAAGCGAATTAGTACAATTATTTAACCAAATGCCAGAGCAATACAAATGTATTTTGGACGAAACAATGATCTAGATTGAGAGGCGCATAAAAAATTGGACATTATGCTAGAAAATCAGCAACAATGTTTACAAAACAGCAATGTTTCTGCCCATGGGTAATTAGGAAAAGCTAAGGAGTTTTGGAGAAGAAACTAACTAATGAAGAAGCCTGAACTCTTCTTGGCAAACAAGTAGAAATTAGTGAATTAGAAAAATAGTTAGAAAGTTTACAAATCCAATTATGCTCTTAGATTGCTTCTGTAAAGATTTATAATTTACTTTGGTCAGGTTTTTGCCTACACTGCCTTTTTTGAAAGATAAAGGCAATTAGGATTAGGTCATTACTTAATAGTTAGTGGAAACTTGAATTTGGTTTTGTAGTTCTTGACTTTTAATTAGGTATTGTCAATCGCCTTTACCTTCTTCACTTTCTACTATTTGGCAAGCTAGATTATTATTGAAAACATAATATTTTTCTAAATCAGATTCATAAATGTTTTTGTTATTAAAAGTTTGGGGTTGAAAATCTTTATAATCTACATAATCTTTATAATAAAGTTTTAATTCTGTTCAGAAATGATCAGTACTAACTATAATTCCTTCTTTTTGCCATCGTTCTCTTTGCTGTTTGGTTAATTCAGGATTAGTTATTTGGATTTGATAAGCTTGAATTGCTTCTTGACCTTCTATGACCACTTTATTTACCATGTCAATAAAAAATCTTCTTTCTTTATCTCTAAATCGATAACCTTCTTCTACTTCTATACTAATCGGCTGAGAATATTTATTTTTTTTAGGAACTTTGATTTTAAATTTTCCACTAAATTTTACTTCTTCTTCATCAGGAATTACTTTCACAAAATAACTGTCGATAGTGGGAATTGAATAGCCATTCAACTCTATTCCTTCCTCAGTTACTTTTAAATTATCGGGTTCAGTTTTAAATTTAATTGAACCTTTAATACCATTATTCGAACAATCTTCCTTAGTTTCAGGAATCTCAGGTATTCACCATAACTTAGGTTTATTATACTTTCGTTTGCCTAACCAAGTTAAAGGCTCATAAGGGTAACCATTATTAATCGCCGTTTCCATTACCTCTAATAAAGTCTTTTCTAATTCTTGCTTAGTATAACTTTGACCATATGGTTTATATCTTGTTTTTACCTTGTCACCATAAGGTAATAAACCAAGAATTGAATAAACACCATCGATGGGTACTGAATGCTGGCGATGGGTCACTGCCTGCAAAGCTTGACTTAAATTTAAATTAATGCTTTGACCAACTTGTGTTCCATAAGTTCAGCCAAGCGGAGTTATGTAGATGATCGGTTTATTATTTAATAAATGATTATCTTGCTGAATACCTGCTCAATAATTAGCTAATATCCTACCATCCACTAAGTAATCATCCAACATAAAAATAGTTTGCTTGCTTAGTAGCCCTTCCTGAAAAGTTCATGATCTCTTAAATCATTCTGAAGTAATTACTTTTTCGATAACATATTTAGCCAAGATTGGTTTATCTTCTTTATCTACATCTTTTGCAATTTCAGCGTCAATGGCAATTAGTGTAGCATTAGCATTACCATAATACTGTCTCATTTTAGGAACTTCTTGATTCACTTCCTGATTGTTGAACTGATCAATACAGAGTTGATCCATTCAGAGATAATCAATACCGATAAGTTTGCAAACTTCAATTGCTTTCGTTAGTGCTTTAATACTTCATTTAGTAGTACCATGGGCATTATCTTTTTCAGATACTCCCATTTTCTTAGGTTCTATTTTCCCATCTTTATTTTGATAAGAATAGTCTCAAGTAGTTAGTAAAGATTTGTCTGAGAGATCACCTCATGAATAAGAAAGAATAGCGTAACTTTTGATGTGCAGGTTATCCTTGGTTCACTCAACTCTTTTTTCTTTAATATTATAGAGTTTGGTAGGAAGTTCATTAGATAATGAGGAATTACTTTCTCAAACAAAGGGACGAAGATCACGGAGAAGAAAATTATCGTAATCCAAATTATTAACTTTATACTTTGGATTGCTTTTGCTTTCTTTTATTTTTTTTTCTTTACTTTCTGAATTCCCTTTCTCGAACTCATTATTCTCTTCTTCTACACTCAATTCTTCATCACTTTCACTATCTATTATTTCTATTCCTAGTACTTTCTTTAAATATTTTGGAGCAGTAGTAACCATTTTTAATTCGGCTTGGGTGTAATCATAATTATTAGTGACTAATTCTTTATTAGTTTGTTTTATTAACTTAGGATGTAATTCTTGTCAAAGAGATAAATTATTACCATAAAGAAAAAGTTCCTCTTTTATTTTGCTATCAAGGTAGATTTCTTGCAAACTAAGGGGTAAGTATTCTAAACCGCAATCTATATCTGTATTACTAATATCCAGTTTTTCAAGCCTTATCAAATTTTTTAAAGATTCTAGTGAGCCAGTAAATTTATTTTTACCAATATCTAATTTTTTTAAATTAACTAAGTGGTTAAAAATGGACAGATCTCCTGATAGTTTATTGTCTCGGACCAATAATGTAGTTAAATTAGGGCAGTTATTAATTATCAAATTAGTTAATAAATTACTATAGCAATTAAGTTCTGTTAATTTTTCACCATTATTAATCGTTAAAGAAGTTATTTTATTTCAATGAACATTTATTTCTTTTAAGTTTAGTCACTCTTCACCATTGATAATTAAATCGCCATTCAACTCTTTTTCCGAAATATTTAATTTGGTAGTGCTTTTTCTTAATTCAACTGGGTAAAAAAAATCTAATCATTTTTTTACTTCCCGCTTATTTTTAAATCTATTAGTTATATCTTGCAGATTATAAAGATTTTCTTTAGTTCACTTAGCTTCTTCATAATCGTTTATTTTTAAACCAGCCTGCAATCATTCTTGAGTAGTTTGTGGAGTAAATCCGTGTTTTTTTCAACCATTAACTGCTCAAAACTCGTCCACTTTAAAACCAACTTTTATTCACTCAGGAGCTTCTAAATAATCAACAACTTCTTCTCAAGATTGTATTAAAATTTTCTCGGCATCGGCAAAATCTGGATGGATTTTAGTTCAATCTTTTTCTTTAAATTGTTCATTATATTTATCTATCAAATCGTCTATGTCTATATCATAATGGATTTCTTTATTATCTCTTAATCAAGCACAAAAATCATAATCGGTTGCCTCAAACCTGTCCTTCAAAGCCTCAGCTCACTCCTTACATCCTTGATAAGCAAATCCTTTCTTTTCTCATTTTTTTTGCAATTCGAGAGTGAAATTAGGATGAACGTCTATTCAATTTTTGAACTGCTTTTGTTCTTGATCAAGATTTACCATATTACCATAATTTACTACCTTTTTTGTTTTCTCAGTCTAATTGTGTTATAAATCAACCATTACCATTAAAATAAATCATTGCTTACTTTTTCTAGATTAGGCAAAACAACAAATTTAACCCGACAATAATGACAAGAAGAAAATTTCTAACATAGGCTATTTGTTTCCTTTCTAAACCAGTTTTTCCTTTTTTTTGCTTATTTCTTACTAAACCAGTTATTATTTTAAGTGGCAATTTTAAGGTTGTTAATATACTCATCTAAATAATAATTTCCTCAGTTTGAGGAGAAGATAAACTAACTATTTTTAATAAGTTTTTCAGCAAAAAATGTAAAACGTTTTATATAGGAATAGTTATCCTATATTTTATTTTTAATACTTTTTAAAAAATATAAAATTGAGATTTATAAAGAGTAGATATAAAATTATAATATAGATGAAGATGAGAAAACTTCCTCCTTTACTCTATACCACTAATGAAGGTCGAAGAGTTTATGAGTTCTATGCCATTATTAACAAAAGAAAGATAACGGAAATTCATATTGACCCTCATTATGAGGAAGAGCATGGAAATTATATGACCGATGAAATTGTTTATAACTTTGCTTTCGAGTTAGAGAAAGAAGAGATGTGAAAACCAGAAGATAGGGATGGAGAATGAGAATATTATTCTTATCTGACTTGAATCGATTGAAGGGCTTATGAAGTGCCTTGATGTCTGAAAGATAGAGCCAGTTTTTTAGGAATATTAAGTTGCTACCGAAGAAGTAAATATGATATTAAAGAATT